ATTTTCTGTAAAAAAAATGCGAAAAAGGTCTCGGTGCTCACATTTTCTCGCAAGCCGTGTTCACCAAAGAATTAATTAATCGAACCTGGCTTCGGATAAAACAAAGGAGGTTAAGGAGGAGGTATTGCAGAGGTGGCTATGAAGGGTTGAAGTTGAAATAAAGGCGTAATATCAGCAGAGGTTGACTGCTGACCACTCCGATTGGAGTTTACTGGCCCCAATCGGCGACGCCAACTACTCCGATCGGCGTGTTATGCATGCACAATTTGTGAGTCTATATTCAGTAGGCGTTGGCGTTTCAGTCGCTCCGGCGTCCTTCTAAATGCATTTGTCCAGCACGTGTTTTAGTTGGTTACGCGTTTTATATTTTTCCGCACAAGTCTGCCGGGTGCAAAAAAAAAAATTTCGCAAGGTGCAATATAGTTTTTTTTATAGACGTGCGGAAATAAGTATACCTACAATAGTTTGTAGTAATTCAATAGGTTTTTTCCTGCAGCCGTGCGAAAAAACGAATTTTCCACACGGATATCGGGTCGGTGCGGAAAATTACGCGAACGTTTTAAGTGACATTTTTACATGTAAATTTGTCACTTTAAACGTTGATTTTCGTTAAACCTTCCTTAAAATGGTCGGTGCAAACGGCTATAAGAGCTGGTTTATTCACCTTCTGATAAACTGTCAGTATGCAATCTGACGGATAAAAACGCACGTAATTGCCATATCTGCCAAAAAAATGTAGCCATGAAAGACAGATGCCACAAAGGGAATGTTGTTTTTTTCTGTTGCTCGCTGTCATATAACGTTTTCGAAAGTTTTGTCATATTTCCCTTCACAGGTTTCATCAATTGGAATACGTGTTGGAAGCAATTTTCGCCATTAAACATAATGAGTGCGACAAAAACAGGTATCCCCTCCGCAGCAGCCGCACTAGGCTTCACGTTCGTCCTTATGTGTTAGCATTCTAGTTTTTGGTTATAGTTCATTGGGTGGGAGAGTAGGGGAGTATGACATAATTGACACATCACGTCATAACCCAGCATAAACAAGACATGGCAATTTTTGCGAGGATAATCAAGCATAAATCTGATTATGCTGGGTTGTGATGTGTCAATTGTATCATACTCCCCTAACCCACTCTTCATCAAATTATGGGCCTGCGAGTGACGTCACTATCAGCAGCTTATAGTGATGACGTCATTCGCAGACCTTGATGGAATGGCTTGAGATTCAGGCTGTGCTAATGGGTTAATTTTTTCGTCGATTTTAAATGTAGAAAAGGTGATTTTCGGTCTGTTCTCACAGAGGAAATTTAGTGTTCTTGATCCTCGAGGTCTGTTTCTGCAGAAATCACAAACCAGTCAGAGCAAATTTCATTGGCTGAAAACAGTCAGAAAACTAGTTTCAACCAATGAAATTCACTGTGACTGGTTTGTGATTTCTGCAGAAACATACCTTCTATCCTCGAGTAGTATCCCAGAATTTGATGGTGGGATAGTTAGGGGAGTATGACACAAATGACACATCATATAATCCAACATAAGATTATGCTTCACAGAATCAAAGTTGGTGTTCATCCCATAAACCGTGAGAGGTTATTAAAATCTGTTTTTTTTTTAAGATAAAAGTCAAAATGACATTATGCTGGCAATACAATGTAAAATTGTCAATGCTTTCAAATTTTTTATATAGAAAAGGCTTGTGTTGCCAACATATTTACTAAATTTTTGACTTGGGGAATTATCTTTTAAAAAAAAATCAGACTTTACTTCATGGCGAATATCACCATTTTTTTTTGGCGCTGAGAGATCGTCATCTCTCAGCTCGCTTTTTTTCAGTACATCAGAATGACACGATAAACGTTTGATTATATCCTAAATAAAGTTGAACATCTTCTAGTAAGGGTGGGTATTATAAAACTATTTTGACAGTTAACTTAGAACTAAGACTAAGGGTGGGTATTATAAAACTACTTTGAGAGTTAACTTAAAGTTAACTTCTGGAATTACATGTAATTCAAAAAGTTAACTTCAAGTTAACTTCAAGTTAACTGTCAAAGCAGTTTTATAATACCCGCCCTAAGGGTGGGTATTATAAAACTGCTTTGAGAGTTAACTTAAAGTTAACTTCTGGAAATACATGTAATTCAAAAAGTTAACTTCAAGTTAACTGTCAAAGCTGTTTTATAATACCCGCCCTTAGGGTGGGTATTATAAAACTGCCAATATAGTTTTAGTCAATATAGTTTTATAATAGCCGCCCTAAGGGCCAAATTATGGACCTTAGAGCAGGTAAAGGTAAAGGAGTAGTAACCTGTATTTGGAAAATGAAGCCGTTTTTTTCCAGGTATTTTGGCCCACAAAAAATGGCGGTTATGGCAATTCAATGCTCTACCTGTATTATGGTGCCAAACACCTGCCAAAAACTTAGCTTCACTTTAGTTTCATAAGCAGAATGGCGCGTTCCTACTCCTTATGTCCGTAGGACAGCGCTTTACCTGCTCTAAGTTATGGACCAACTGGTAAGTGTCTGGTTGTTACCTAGCAGGTACTAGTACTTTCTATTATCTAGAGCATAGAAAGTACCTGCTAGGTAACAACCAGACGTTTACCAGTCAGTCCATAATTTGGCCCTAAGATCTAAAAATTCGTTCCGGGGTGCGTTCAAGGACGTCAATGCTTATGCCAAAACCTACTTTTCCCCCTCCAACGGTAATGCCGAACCACATAGATTGGAGCCGAACTCGAACGCAAAATACCAATTTTGGCTTGGCTGTAGCCATTCCTGAACGCAGCCCCGGTAAAACCGACAATGCCAAATGACGTCCACTATCGGTACTAACAAGCTGGAGCCGGTTTGCACTGTGTTATTCATTGAGGTGTTATTGCTCATTGAAAGAAACGCGTTCATTTTAAAAGCTTATAGGCGCTGATCGGCGCTGGCTGCCAGTAAGCAGGAAGCCTACTTCCACTGTGTTTTTACCCCAATGTCTACCGACTCTACCCTACTGCAGGAAAATCGATATCCCGCACAAAAAGCAGTGCGGAAAATAGCATTTCCCGCATCCTCGTAGCAAAAGTTACCTAAGGAAGTTATTCATGACATGGCATGTGTTTTAGAACGGGCTGAGTTTCATTTGATAAAAAAATACCAACAAAAATATCGTCGATTGCCAAATTCATTTCGGCTGAGTTCGGCTTTGCACTCCACGGAGCAGAACGGTATGGGTATGAGCATGGATATTGTGACGTCATAGGCGGTCTCGATCATAAGCCCAACGAAAAAGAGAACATTCTGAGAGCTAACACGAACAGGATCTTATTGTTTCGAACACGCTCAGAGTTCACAGAGTGTATAGCCGAACTCGGTCTTCAAACCGTGCTTTCGGTATCTTGATCCGAGTCTTCCAAGCTTGAATTTACCGTTCGTTTATTTGGAAAGTGTACTCGGTGCAGGCTCATTCGCGTTCGTTTATTAAAATTTCTGGCACTCTAATACAGCGTTCAGCTGCTCTGTTCGCTCGCTGGTCACGTGATTACGGCTCCGCTCAGCGCGCTCTACTTTCGTTGCGTTCGGTATTTTTCTCAAAGAGCAGAGCGGAGCCGTAATCACGTGACCAGCGAGCGAACAGAGCAGTTTAACGCTGTATCAGAGTGCCAGAAATTTTAATAAATGAACGCAAATGAGTCTGCACCGAGTACACTTTTAAAATAAACGAACGGTAAATTCAAGCTCGGAGATCAAATTACCGAACGCACGGTCTTTGAGCAAAATACCGAACGCAAGAGTTCTTTTCACGTGGCTCCGGTTTAAACTAAACCGGTTGCAAAATGGTTAAAGAAATTACATACCGTTTTCTAACCTGCTTACAAAGTTACGTGATGAATACCCAAGGAGAATACACACTCTAGGAGTGCTTATCGGCCTCGTTTTTGGTAATCGCCGCCATATTGGTTTTCAACCAATGCCGATGTCATAACCAATGAACTATAACCAAAAACTGGAATGCGAACACATAAGGACGAACGTGAAGCCTAGTGCGGCTGCTGCGGAGGGGAGAGGGGATACCTGTTTTTGTCGCACTCATTATGTTAAATGGGGAAAATTGCTTCCAACACGTATTCCAATTGATGAAACCTGTGAAGGGAAATATGACAAAACTTTCGAAAACGTCATATGTCAGCGAGCAACAGAAAAAAACAACATTCCCCCTTGTGGCATCTGTCTTTCATGGCTTCATTTTTATGGCAGATATGGCAATCCTTGCGTTCGGTATTTTGCTCATAGAGCAGAGCGTGTTGAGCGGAGCCCGTAATCACGTGACTAGCGAGCGAACGGAGCAGTTGAACGCTGTATAAAAGTGCCACAAATTGTAATAAACGAACGCGAATGAGCCTGCACCGAGTACACTTTCGAAATAAACGAACGGTAAATTCAAGCTCGGAGAACTCTGATCAAAATACCGAACGCACGGAATGTGTGCGCATTCCAGTTTTTAGCTATAGTTCATTGGTTCATATCTGCCAAAAAAATGTAGCCATGAAAGACAGATGCCACAAAGGGGAATGTTGTCTTTTTCTGTTGCTCGCTGTCATATGACGTTTTCGAAAGTTTTGTCATATTTCCCTTCACAGGTTTCATCAATTGGAATACGTGTTGGAAGCAATTTTCGCCATTAAACATAATGAGTGCGACAAAAACAGGTATCCCCTCCGCAGCAGCCGTATTAGGCTTCACGTTCGTCCTTATGTGTTAGCATTCCTGTTTTTGGTTATAGTTCATTGGTCATAACTCATTACACACAGGCCTTATGAGGATAAGCCATCCTGTAGTAGTAGTGTGTATCATCCTTGATGGATACCTACCACTCGAATTTGAGCGGTATGTTGCGGTTTGTTAAACCGCAGCAACAAACCGCAGCCACGTGAAAAGGGTTGAGGAAAAAGTCAGATGCACGTCAAATAAATGTCAAATGTTTGTTTATTTTTTTTCAATAATCAATGTTATTGTATTATTATAATTGTTAATTTATGTCTTTTTCATGTATTTTGTTAGGTAAATTATAAAAGTCTATGAGTAAGTGATACATTTTCAAATAAAAATTTCAATTCCGTGATACACTATCAACTTTCTAAGTTCAGGAAACATTTGAGTTGAGGTTATGTGAACCAAATTATTACTTTATAATTGTTGATATAAACCATGAGCGAATCATTCTCAAACTCGTCGAAAGACCCCTCAGGCATTGGCCAACAATTGGACGAATACAACTGCGTTTATTGTGGAGATTTAATCTCCTTGACTGACTTGAACGAACACGTAACCAATTGTTCTATTCCTTGGTCCTCAACAAATACCACTAAAGAGAAACTAGTGAATCCGTTGAATTTTATTTATGATGAACACAATCCTGATAGCTCACAATGTATAGAAGTGCCTTTGGAAGAAGCTCTGGAAGATGTTGAGGAAGGCGATCTGAACATTTTAGGAGATGCTGATGCCGGTAAGGAAGCAAAGACTTATTGATATTTTTAACTACTCCAAAATTGTCGCAAATCACAAAGATGATAATGTTTATGCTAGTGTTTATGTAATTTTAATACCTTTGTCTATCTGTTTTTATCACAATTTTTATGCGGCTTGACTTTAACTGAGATGTATGTTACCTGTATAAGTATCTTTAGTATCTATGTTTTTATTTTAGTGCAGTATTTTATTTTGTTTTTTAATTTTAATTACTTTTAGAAACTACCATTTAGAATATAATATTCTGTAGTGTATGTTTGAGATAAAAAAGTAAATTAACTTTTGGCTGTTGCTGCTGCTGCCATAATCTTGCATATTTATACTTCATCTCAAATATATCTGATGGAAATTTTTTCAGATTATCAAAATCTACTACAAGAAGAACCTAATCTTACAGAAACTGAAAATATTCTTAAACGGGAGTTAGCAATAGAATCTATAATTCAAGGTAATACCAATTCAAAAAAGCGAAAAAAAGTAGAAGTACAGTCTGTGGTATCAATTGGATCTTATAAAACGAAAGTTTATAGCAAAGATAAAGTTGTGATAGAGGAAGAAACTCGTGCAGAAAAAAATAATGTCCAAACTTTAACAGTTTTAAATAGTGCCAGGCAACCTTCTGCTACAGAAAAAAAATCTGACCAATCAAAATCTGATGTAAACATTGTGCCTATAAAACCTTCAAAAACTAAAAAAACGAAAGTTGTTCAAATTAAACCTGGTCAAAAATTGTTCCAAAGAATACCATCACCTGTCGAAGAAGTCGCAGAAAAACCTGCTGGTATTTTTGATTTTGTTGATGAGCAAGATGATGAAGATAGCAAAAGAAAACGAAAAGAATTAAGGGAACTTAAAGATAGGACATGTTGGTAAGTAAAATAACATTTCTAATTTCTTCATTAATTTACAATAAATTGATATTATGGTTTGTGTATTATGATTTATCCGAGTATTTTTAGAACAATTAACTAAAAAATATATTATACCCCAAATCGAGTAGTTGTTTCACCATCTTTTCTTTTAGCACCTGTTCTAAAGTCTTTAGTGATCCAGTAGCGGTTCTATATCACAAACGAAAAGAACACTACCGCAGCAAAATAATAGTGGACAAACTAGAGCTGCAGTCCTATTTACTCAAACCTCCTAAATCTCATTGCCCAGTGTGTCTTAAACAGCTTCATCATAAAAAAAATGTCAAAACGCTCTACGTGAAACATTTAATGACTCACGCCAACGTATTGGAATCTAGCTTGAAATGTAAAGTTTGTGAGAGGAAGTTCAAACGAAAGGATCATTTGGAGAATCACGAACGGAGGCATTTTTGAATTTACTTGCTTGTTTGTGATTTCTATATGTTTAAGATTTCAACTATAATTTTATCAGTAGTTTTATTCTATCTTTTATTTCTATTTTGCCCTGCTTTGGTTTTTTTGATAGTTATTCTCTGTCAACAAATTTATCTCTAATTATTATATTCTGGATATTTTTTTAATGTAAGTGGGGTGTGATTTTTGTTAGTTACATATAAGGTAGGCATCTAGTGGTTAGTTGTAAAGCTTTGTCTATAAATACCATGTAAAAATACAATAACTGTTTTATTCTTTAGCTCTGTTTGTAATGAACTCACTTTTGAATTGACTTGTTGCACATAAATTTTTACTTTCAACTTAGCATTTGGATAATTTCTAATCACTTTCCGACAAGATCAATGTGTTTGAACTTTGGGCAAATCAGGCCTCAAATGAATTTCTGCTCGAAGTTGGTTTGTTATTCCTCATAAGGTGTAGCATTATGGAGCTGCAGATTGGGTAAACATAAAACTTTTTTACTCGACCTTTTCGTAGTTTGAACACTGTTCCACATTTTTATAAATGATTTGTTAAATGTGACAAGAAACCCCATATACAGCTTTGCGGAGGATAGTAGCTTGATGGCGTCTTTCTCTTCTGACAAACCGCTCATTGCAGCCACTTCCATAGCCCTCGACTGAGAAGAGATTCACTATACCGACAGTGATCCTGACCATTACCAACTGGGGCCCTATCAACCTAGTCAAATTCAATCCTTCCAAAACAGTATATTATTTGTTGGCGTTGGTGTTGCTGCACAGTTGATCGCTTCTCTATTTATTAATATTAATTAAATAAAAAGTGAGATAAATTGTTCGTGGATCATGTCATTGTGTGTGGAAAAATGTAAGCTTTTCAGTTATCAAATTTTGCATGCCTTTTATCATTTTATCAATAAAACGGATTCCTTACTCGCCGGAATGAAATTTTTAACTTTTTTTCACAAGGATTCTCTGAACTGATTAGGAGAATATGGTGCAAAGTGAAAAATGATATTTTGAAATTAAGTTTGATATCTTAAAATTAAGTTTTTTACTACAACTATTTTGGCGACATATTCAAAATCTTCCCAACATGTCTCAAAGAAATGCAACAAATGCTCACTGAATTGCACCTTCAAGGTTTCAAGTATGGTTAAGTATGATACCCCAAGAACCTCTAAATATAGATTGTTTTTAGTGACATATTGCCCACCTGTGAAACTCCTACTTCATTTCCTGAACGATTTAACATTAATGTGTTCAAACGGAAGGTAATTGTCACTTAATTTCTTCTGCTCATGGTACCGGTTACTGGTTAGGTAGTATAGATTTTCTGTTTTGTGAGCGGACCAATATAAATAAAAATACCTGTCACTGCTCTGCTAACTCTCCTTTTCAATTTACGCTCTTAAGCTTGTAGAGACTATTGCCTTACCAAACCCTTGAATAATTTGAAGCGTCGTCAAATTCATAAAATACTAGTCAGTTAATTTTAAATTTATCTTCTTTTTTTTTAACTTATTTGTGTTTTCTGATTACATATAAAATTAATTAATGAGTTTTACATTTCTCAGATAGAGATTACTTTAAATAATTCAGGTGTGTATGTACCTAATGTAACATCAGAAAAAATAGAACACAAAAAAATCACAATAATATGAATTCTTTGACTCAATCAATCAAAATGTGAACCTTATCCATAGACCTTATCTTAATGAAAATATTTGATCTTATGTAGAGGATATCACATTTGGAGGCATAAAACCTGCATCCCCGAAAGCCCTTAGGACGCATCTTCCACTCGGAGTTATGGAAATCCAAGTAATACTTGCATGGTTTAGAGATAGTCTCAGCCAGGCTTCAGCTGGAACTTGTAGAGCTCTGAAACACAATTTGATTAATCCTGTTCCAAAACAAAGCTGACAATAACGCACCTGCACACCAAATATCTAATAACGTTTGCATGGCAAACAATTATATGATAAGAATCTTCTTTTTGCTTGGGGTCAGCTCTGTGAAAGTATTTTCTAAAAGCAGCTTCTATTCTGGCTCCATCTTCATAAAACTTCTTCAAAAATTTAAGCCATAAAATAAAAAGTACTTCACATGAACCTTTTACTTACATATCTTGCTGGCCTGTAGGAACCCATTGGAGGTTCTGGAGGAATTGGCGCTCCTTCTCTCAAAAGGTCGCAATGAGTCACAGGAACCTGGAATTATTCATACATAAAATACTGATACAAATTTCACTAAGGAACCTACATTTGGTATATGCGTAGAAATAATGGATCCAGTTTCTTGTGCTCTAGTCATAGTTGATTTTACCATGTCGCAGTAAGGAAGGCCAAGCTCTGCCAGCCTTTTTCCAGTGTATTCTGCTTGTAGTCTCCCTGGACAATACAGTTGCTAATTAAAGGTTCAAATAATTAAGATAGTTATTACCTAATTTAGTAAGGAATCTTTCCTCGTCAGTCTGCCCTTCTAAATTATACTGTCCATGCCTGATAAGTATCACATGTCTAACAGCTTTTGGAGTATACTTTTCAATGTCCTCGTTATTATTCTCATCATTCCTTTGGGCACATTTAGTTTTTTTGTTCTTGATAAATTGCGGAGCTCGTCTAAAGGATATATTTATTGAAAATGTTCTGGAAACTTAAAAGAATGGCTTACTGATCCCAATTTTCGTCCCATCTAGCACAAGGCGAAGGCTCGTATTGGGAAGTCCAGGAGGCGAAAGCCTTAAATCTATCATTATTTAGATAGTAAAATGTGGTGGCGCCTGTTACTGCCCCAAGACCTAGGATCAGCTTTCGGCTTTTCCCAAATACTGACATCGTAAAGTCTGCAAATTGGAAATTGAGGTGTGCTTACTTGGGAGTTGTTCGGTTTGCTTTTTTTTTGAGTAAAGTGTCAGAATTAATTTATTCCAAAATATTAGATTTGATGTTTTGGTTTCTTCAATTTTTTGAGGCCCTAATTATAATTTGTAAAAGGGAAGTTTTTAATTTTCAAAATTAAGGGCAGGCACAACGTCAACCACGTGGAATGAAGGATTCCTTCAATTCCTTGGGGAAAACCAAACAAACGCTCAGTTTTCGGCTTTTACACTCTGTAAACCTGAGCACGCTCGAAACGATAAGATCCTGTTCGAGTTCGTTTTAGCTCTCAGACTCAGAGTGTTCTCTTTTGCGTTGGGCCAACGGTTGGGCTTATGACCGCGTATGACGTCATGGTATCCATGTTTATACCATTCCGGTCCGTAGTCCGTGGAGTGCAAAGCCGAACTCAACCGAACAGGCTGGGATCACAAGTAGAATTCTACTTTCATGCGTCAAGTTGCCTAGCATCATCGCCTGCATTGTAGGCGAAAAATAGGTCGCGGTTAACGTCATGAAAGTAGCCTTGTTGTGATGATATTTTTACTAGGCACTTCTCAAAATTTACCGATAAAAACTGTGCCGATAACCAATTGGTTGGTTGATACCGGGTCGGGTTGAAGTCGAGTGGTCGTCAGTGGTCGAGTCGGGTATTGTCTGGTAATAGTTGTATTCCTTTCGAGAGTTTGAAACACGAGCTACTCGCTTCGGTGTTTAGTCGCCCCCGATTTTCAGGGAACAGATGCGTGGTGCAACAAACACTTTTCGAAAGGAATAAGCGCGTGAAGCCCCGGAGCGCCTCATAGGTGTGAAAGGAATACAACTACTGTATAACAGACCCAAATATCTTTGAACAAACCCAAGAGCCCTTTTCACGTGGCTCCGGCTTACCATACCGCTCAAATTCGAGTGTTATTGACGACGTCACTTTGTAACCGGGTTAGGGAACGGTATGCCGTTTCTTTAACCAGCTAGGCGATATGGTTACGTTTAACGGTTAGAACAAAAAAATAAATTTTTTTGTCAAATACACGTGAAATTTTGGTGCAGTTACTAGAGAGTACAGGTCGTTGGATTGCCTAAATGCCTAAATTAAAATAACATTTTTTTAACCGTTTTCAATTGGCATTTTCAATGACGTCATCACTTGACATACCGCTAGTAACCGTTGTGTAACCCGGTTAGTTTAAACCGGAGCCACGTGAAAAGGACTAAGGATGGCCGTGATCGTTTTTGTCATCTTTTTCGTCGATTTGCTCCGAAATTTTGACAGGCACGTGACTGGATCTGACAGTAGGCATTTTTTCGCGAGGATAATCAAGCATAATCTGCCCAGGAGGGACACCGTAACATGTAGAATTCTACATATCGACAGGATTCTATTATGAGGATAGGCTATCCTGTAGTAGTAAGGTGTATCAATCATCCTTGCAACAAACCCACCAACCAATTTTTATTTTAGGTAATTGTTGTTAATTTTTCCCAAGGTTATTTGGAAGAGGTTGCGTTGCCATAACTTTTATGACGTTCATAAGGCCTGTGTAGGACCAATCTGAAGCCCCCCATCAGTCCCATCACGCCAAATCACCAGTTGTGACGTAGCAGTATGTCCTTTCCCGACTTGACGTAGGCTGATTGCACACCACAGGTTATGATTCCGCGGAGTTTTGCTTTATGCATACTTGATTTTACTACATTAATTAACATTCTAAAAAAATTTGTTTTCAGATCTCGTTTGCATCTTCCTCTTTGCCAATTATGTTAATCAAAATTAAATTATATTATATAATACGATAGTTCGGTTAGTCTTCAAAATTGGGTTTGTGCGCAATTGACGTCACCCTACTCTTGACGCGGACTCTAATTCTCGACTATAGTTCTCATAGTTGACCGATTCCCAGTTATTCACAATCCTAGGTTCTTAAGCTTAACCAATCACCATTTTTCCATTCTTTCATCATACTCGTAACTAAATATTCGCTACTCGAGTACTCGTTCTGTTATTGTATTGTTCTATTCTTAGAGGCGAATCGGCGAATCATTGTTGTAATATGATATTTGTGTGCTCTTTTGTTTTGCCCACAAATTATTAAAACATTTTCGGCTTTGCTGCTCCCAGAGCGTTTCTCGTCTGGGCGTCGACGTCACAGATCTCTGCGGAAGTGCTCCGAAAGCCATCCAAAAGCGATTAAGGCAGGGCACAACATTTGAAATCAATAGCCGAACGTACTTTGTGCGGGTATTATAAAACTATTTCGATAGAATAAATTAAAGTTAACTTCTGGAATGGCGTTATACTTCCCATAGTAATTCCAGAAGTTAACTTTTAGTTATCTGTCAAAATAGTTTTATAATACCTGCCCTTCTTAACCTAATACGTTGCAATCAGATTTTCTACATTTAAAATCAACGGAAAAATTAAACAAGAAGCACAGACTGAATGGCAAGCATTCCATCGAGATCGGCGTGTGACATCACCACTATTAACTGCTGATATGGTGACGTCACTCACAGCCCGGGCTGACTCGAGAATTGGCGAACGTACGCCTTATTAAGGATCCCCCACATCGGCGCGATATGGCGGTAGCGGTAGCGATATGTCCACAGCGGTAAACGGACATTGAGGTGGAAGTCGAAAGCGCTGCTAGCTTTGGTGTATAAAGAGAATTTCGAGTACTCGAACAACTATTATTCATATTCGGGCAAGAAACGAGTACTAGAGTCGCGAATGTGCGAATATTTTTCTGGATACTACTCTGGGGTGCATTCACGATTCGACAACCTGGGTTATATTCTACTTGGTAAATCTTACTCGGGTAGTTGGAGTGACTTGAACGGGATAAGAAACGCCCCAACCAAGGTAAATTGTGTCATTTGTTATCTCAACATGCTTTATGTTTCGATTTCAAATCACGTGTATTCATAGTTTAGTTCTTTTTTGAAGCATCCCGAATCCCGATCCGTGAACGACTTATCCGGACGCTGGAGCGCTCCCAAACTGGGCGTCCTTCGTGACTGCAGCCCTGGGACGCTGCTCTCCTGGTTAAAGGATAAAAACCCTGATGTCCCACCTGTTTTTGCCATATGCTTCACCCAATGAACTAAACAAACACACTGGAACGGTGGCTGTATGATGTTCTCTACGCATTAACCCTTTTCACGTGGCTCCGGTTTAACAAACCGCAAGATACCGCTCAAATTCGAGTGGTAGGTATCCATCACGTCACTTTGTAACCGGGTTAGAAAACGGTATGTCATTTCTCTAACCGTCAACCCTTTTCACGTGGCTCCGGTTTAACAAACCGCAACATACTGCTCAAATTCGAGTGGTAGGTATCCATCACGTCACTTTGTAACCGGGTTAGAAAACGGTATGTCATTTCTCTAACCGTTTTGTAGCCCGGTTGGTTAAACCGGAGCCACGTGAAAAGAACTATTTTGTAACCCGGTTAGTTAAACCGGAGCCACGTGAAAAGAACTAAGGGTTTGTGCCAGAAAGGACAACAAACAAGTGGGATTTGCATCTCTCTCTGCTTTATGGCGGCTATTGAGAACAGCAAGTGTTTGGATCATTAAGGCGGAAGATGAAGAAGCTCGTCTTTTTTTTAACTTTAAACGCAATGAGTGCGAGCGAGACAACAATCCCTCTGTATTGCTGGGTTGCGTATATCAAAATTCGGCACACTAGCATAATGCAGTGCGCCCGTTCCAGAGTCTTTGTTTAGTTCAATAGCTTCACCCCTTTGCTCCTCATACGGAAAATGTCAGTTTAAAAACGACGGCTATAGGTTATATGGCGCTGCTATCAACTACCCTAACCGTCCCTACTTGCTCAAAAATTGCATTTCCCAGAGTTAACGATAAAATGACGCCACTCAAGCGTTTTATAGTGCTACAGAATTGCCTCCGCGAACAGAGAGTTGTACCAGATGGCGCAAATAGCGTGCTCCCCGATCTGCTAGCGAATCCATTGACACACTCGGAGTGCACACCCTTCGAGTAGCTCTCTGTACACCGGATTTCGCCCGGACTGTTCTGTTTAATCTGAACGCACCCAGTCAGTTATTCCGTGACGTCACATAGGCGTATTTTAGCGAGAGTTTTAACCCAGTAGTATGTTGTATTTACTTGGGATACTACATTTTAGCGAGCATGGCTAACATACTATGACGTCACAACATAAAACACAACATAAAACTCGTCTGTAAACATGTAAACATCCTAGGAGGGATAGTTACTGGTCGTAGTATGTCAGTGCATCTTTTTCTAATACACGAAAATGAGCATATGGGCAAAACATCAGCTGATTACGCTACGATTACCGACACAGTTCTTTCCATTATAAATAGAGGATTGTTTTTCCTCATTTTGCCATGGTTTTCTGTGATTTTATTTTAGAGGTTTTTTGCAAAAAAAATAAAAAATCTTCACTTGTGCACAAAAGTGTAATTTTTTTTTTTTTTCGCATAGGGTACCCATAAAATTCAAAAATACCACAATCTATCAAATATTTTCGAAAATCTTCACTGGAGAAATAATATTGAAACTCGAAAACGCTAAATTTTACAAAATTCAACAAATCCAAATAAACAACGATCGTGGCGTCCTCTCTTAGACCCTTTGTCAAATACACTCCACCTGTTATTTGGGTAACTATGACGTCATGAATCGTAGTATGTGTAGTATGATGTTTACCTATCGCTAAAATACGCCTATTATTGTTTGACAGAACTACTATGTTTATTTATTGTTAATTTGGGTTTGAGATTTTGTATTTCCATTTTCCATCCCACGATTTCCACGGCCATGTATATTCTTTAATAACAAATTTTTACCACCACAATTAAATTATGATTAGGATCTGAAATGGCGACTCCTGAGCACCAAGAATTGGCAAATTTCATCAAATCAGTCCACCAAACGCTGAGAGATGATGCCGGAGCACTGGGCACTAAAGAAGCTTGGAAAACCCATTGCCAAGACCAGGACAAGTTGAAAAAATACGCTTCAGCAATGCAACAACTAGCGGTACATCATTGGGAGAAAAATGCATTGTTGAACGACAAAGCTGTTTCGAGAGTATTATGGATTCACGGGGCCTGTGAGGAATATTTTTGCAATTTCAATAAACACAGGGAAAAGGAGGAGCGTATAATGAAAACTTGCTTTGAAAATCAAAAACTCATACACATTGATCCTCAAGAATATCTAACTGCCTCAAAATTAAAGCTTCTTGACGTTGGGAGCTGCTACAACCCATTCAAAAAATTTGAAATATATGATGTTACAGCCGTTGATATTGCTCCAGCAAATAATGAAGTCCTAAAATATGATTTCCTAAACCAAACTCCATTAGATGTAACTGTAAAACTGCAACAAACCCCATTTGATATCATTGTGTTCAGCCTCTTACTAGAATACCTTCCTGATCCTGATCAGAGGCTAACCTGTTGCTTAAATGCCTATAAACTCCTGAAGCCTGGAGGCATTTTAACAATAATCACTCCCGATTCAAATCATGTTGGGTCTAAGCATAGAATATTCAAGTCATGGCAAATTGTGTTGGCTAGACACGGCTTCATAAGGGTTAAATACGAAAAACTTCCCTACTTACATTGTATGGTGTTTCGGAAAGCTTTGTTTTTAGAAGTGGCTGAAAGGTGGGCCCATGTTCACGACCGGGATGAGTTTTATAAGAAAATGCATATTCCTCAGGATTTTAGGCAAGAAAAAAGTGAAAGGAGTAATAAAATTGAGAATAAATGGGTTGAGGATAGTTTTTTACAGGAGCTTGATTGTAATGTTTTAAATTGAATTAAAAAACTGGTAATAATGCTGCTATTTGTATTTATAGAACATAATCCTTAGAATCTGCTCTAAAGCTAGAATAGTCAAAATAATTATAACAAATAATAAGTAAATCAAAACTACCTAGTCGGTCATTCAAAATGCTTAAACAAATGGCAAAGAAAAGTTTAACCTTCAACAGAACAGAATATCAAAATACAGAGTTGATTAGACAAGTGCCATCAAATGATTTCCTTTTATTTACTCCCTGTTTATTAGAACAATTTGCTCGACAATTTCTTTACAAGTAAAAAATTAAATAATTAAATTGAACTTGCAATCCAATTATTAAAAGAGTTTCATATTCCAAGTTAATGTGTTTGCCGAATTGTTTAAGACTGAACAAAACTTTTTTGATAAGTTTTCAGGAAACAATTGTTTCAAGAATGATTTAAAAAATGACAACACCTCTGTAGTGTTGTGATAATTTTGAATCTCCCACCCTAGACTTTTGTTCAATTTACTATTAAATATTTGTTCCTCACATTTGAGTAAGGCTTGAGAAATATTCTCAGCTGCACTGGAATTATTACTCAAAAAATAATTTCCAAGATCTTTTAATTTTTCTTAAGCTCCTTACAAACTTTTAATACTAGTCGCAAGTTTTTGCTCTTCACTTTTCACTTGGACATCTGACGGATTTGAATTTTCAGTTAACAAATCCTCATTGACTAACGCATACGTTTTCAAATCTAAATATTTAGTATTTGAAAATAAGAATGGTAACGGAATATTGTCTTTAACATCACAATAATTGGTTATCTCACTATCACATAAACGATTGAATTCATTTTTGACTATTTCAGGGGACAATTCTTTCCAAGCTGCTGAAACCCATATGAGTGCATCTGTTAGTGGTATTTCTGGTGAGTCTTCTCTAACTATTGATGCATCAAGTCTTCTTACCAGCATTTTTCTATAGGTAACTTTAAAGTTTTGAATTATACTTTGACCCATAGAATAATGTGAAGGTAGAAAAATCAGTTAAACTTTTTCCAATTTAATGTTTGGCTGCAAAGTTGTATTGTTGAAAAATAAGACTACATTCCTCTGTTCTTTTTTCATTTTAAGATCAAAGTTTCTTAACCAATTGTTTATTATATCTATAGTCACCCACGAATTCTCATTTACAGCTCATTCTGTACCTCCCAGATGTCTGGGATTTTTATTTTTGCCAATAACTAATGGTATTTCCTTGTCTCCGTCCATGTTCAGGCACAATAAAAATATTGTCAGTCTTTCTGTTTCATTTGATCCCCAAGGAAGTGCTTGATACAAAAGTCCTGTTACATTTATATTAAAAATATCTTTTGCATTATAATCTTGCATTATTGACTGCAATTTAGCCGAAAATTTGATTTTCCTACTTTCATTATCAGATTCACTATGTAAGAATTTTAAAGAAATTTTATGCCTTTGACAAAATTTGTCTAACCAACCATTGGAAGCCTTGAACTCGGCCTTGAACTCATTTGACTCTAAATGTAACTCCTTAGCTGCTTCCAGGGCTTTATCTTTGAGCAAAACTCCAGTTATTGGAATATTTTGGTTTCTCACTTTACAGTACCAATTGAAAACTATTTCATCTATAGCCAAACCACTGGTTCTAGGAAATGTTCTTTTTTGGTCCGGGTTTCCACTGGTTTCAAAGAGTTTTTTTATTTCATTTTTGTTCCTTAATATGTCACTGATTTGGGTTTTCCCAATACCAAATTTTTCAGCAAGTTTTCGACCGCTCAACTTGATATTTTGTTCGGTAGCTTTGATTATATTAACTTTGTCTCTCATAGATAAACGTTTCCTTTTCCACAAGACATACTGAATACACCACTGTCACAAATGTTACCTTTTCTTCTTGTCTTCAACAAACTGAAATATAATTAGGCATTAATAAAGTATTTTTCTTGGAACTTGGAAATGTAGATACCTACCTAACTCAGTATTTTATCCTTACTTTTACCGGTAAAATCACTAGAAAAGCTTTAAAATTCAAATTAATCGAATAGATCCCAGCTTACAACATACCTAAATAAACTACGCGTCAATCGAACTCGAACACCCCAATTTTTGGTCACTTTTTGTAAGACTATAACTCAAAATCTAGCGGGCCGATTTTGTTCAAATTTTCTTTCTCTGAAAAGATGCTCCAATTGCTATTTAATTTCCATTTGCTAACAGATTTCCGGCCACCTGCTAAAAGATACAAGGTGAAACATAAGTTGGCGATTTTTTTGCGAAAGTTTGAGTTCACCCCATTCTGCTGGAGGGAGGGTTGAGTAGACGATTTTTGGTATCCAGTTTAGAAGAGTACCTTAGTACCTCGGGACGTTTTTGAGATTTTTTGAATATCGCAGCCCACTACGATTTTATCATGAGCTATGCGATTTTATGCAAAATATAGCTTTTGACGTCATTATTTCCTTTCGAAACAAACACTACAATTAATTATGGTTCATGTGAAAACACACTTTTTAGAACATATTATACAGGGTCATACAAAAATATAAAGCGTGACTATTTTTTTAACCAGAGATATCTTGATTGTTATAGAAAATACTAGGTCCGCGCGAGATCGCTTAAATTAGGGCAGAGTCGCGCAATTTTATGGCCAATAAAATGGCGGTTTAACACTGGCATCGCTGTTTATAGACATTGTAGGTGGTAAATCAAGAACTATTACTTCGGCTCGGGATGACAACAGAATCCTTTAACCAGTGCGTCGAAACAGAACTCTTAATTCTTCGCAAATAAGGATCGCGGTAGGAATTGAAGCCTCAAAATCGACAATTCAAAGACGTCTCCATGAGAGAAATTCAAAAGCCAGAAGGCGAGCTAGGGATAACAAACTATCGATAGGAATATCGATACTATCGATAGTTTTTTAATTTTCGATAGTATCGATAGACCTGTACCAATATCGATAGTTCCAATGTAGCCAAAGGTAAATGAAAACATCTGTATATTGAGGGAATTATAAAGAAATCTGTAGTTTTTTTGAGAAATCTGTAATTATTTTTGGGGATAGACATGCTGTGCTGCCAATTTTTCGGTTAGGAAGAATGACGAGTGACTTTGATGGACTTGATGGAGGTTGGAGGTTAATGTTTATCGTAATTAATTACAAATTTGGTTACTTTGGTCAGAGCAAACTATCGATAGTACAATCGATAGTTACTATCGATGGGTAGGCCATTCTATCGATATTACTATCGATAGTTTTTTTTTCGATAGTTTGTCAACCCTAAGGCGAGCAGCATGTCCATTATTAAAAGCATTTCATCGAAGAGCACGAATAAACTGGGCTAATATTCATAGATACTGGGGGGTAGCTGAATGATAGAGATGTTTGTTTGTGGATGAATACAGATTCACGTTGTATCAGAACTACCTACAAGTGCCTACAGAATAAATTGTTCCGCACGAGTCTGCCATTCACCGAACGACGCCTCGCAGAAAAACATTTTCCGCAAGTGTTATTGTTTTTTGTCTTTGGTTAGGTACAATAGTTTTTCTACAGACATGCGGAAATAAGTACATATACCTACATAAATTGTAGTAATTTATAATTTTTTTTTTGACTGCCTTGCAGAAAAATGTTTCCGCACGCGCTAGTGCGAAAAAACTAATTTTCCGCACTGGTATCGGTGCGGAAAATTGAATTGAAATTCTTAGATACAACAATATTGGAAGAATGGAGTGGCCTGCAAAGTCGCCTGACATGAATCCGATTGAGCAGGTATGGAGTAGAGTAGAATGAAATTAGGACTGGCTGAACGGTTAAATGGTTTTGAAGATTTAAATGAATTGGTAAATGCAGTAAGGCAAGAGTGGGTTATTCCCCAGAATTTGATAAGGTACCTATTCAATAGACAGTATGCCGAGAAGACTGGTAGATGTGATTAGAAATCGGAATGGGCCTACCAAGTACTAATCTTTTTGTCCAGTCCATGTTTTTATGCTTGTTTTTGTTAAATTTTATTTAATATGTGTTGTTTTTATTTCATTTCAATTACCTATCCCTACTTATAATTGTTTATTTATTCATTTATTTATTACTTGCACTCTTGCACTCTAGGAGCCAGTAATTCAGGGAATTATTGAAATACGGCCACAGTGGACTTGGACTGTGCCGCTTTAGTGCCGACCCAAACTTGACTGTGGCGGGCGCTATTTTGGCTCGCAAAAGGAATTATTGAACGACACGTTGAAGTTGGCATTGGCATGTCATGTTTTATTTTCATATTCCTAACCTAAAATTGCAAAGTATAAATACGTGTTTGGTGTTGTTCTAGTGGTTCTTCTTGTAGTTTTTTGTTGAATTTGTTTTGTTATATCATCTATAAGTATTTTGAAATTCTAGACCATATTTTAAGGGACGAGAATGATGAAAGGCGAGGCCTCGTGGTCATTGAAGCGAAGTATTTGTGCCTTCAAACTGAACTGCGCTTGCGCATTTGTCCATATCGAACATATGTAAACCAATGCGTAAGCGCAGTTCAATACAGAACTGATTCGGAACTAAATCTGAATAAACCTATAAATGTAAATTAATAAGAAAGTGAAGGTTCACATTTGAATAAGCCTTGACGAACGTCAACTTAAAAAAAAAGAAGAGACATGGGCACAGTTTATACCGTACTGATACAGTTGTTCAACTCCGTTGACAAACCATTGATTTTTTTGAAGCCAAATTCTATGTCCCTATATTTCGCGCTTGCGCATTATTGATCGGAAACAACGAATCCTGGGCCGTGGACAGAGTCGGACTAGGATTTTTTGTGGATTACCATTGAGAATAAGTGCAGGATTGGAAAGAGACATGTATATGCCGAACTGCTTTTTCAATTTGAGAGATTTGTTCATTCATTGAGCGCATGCGCAATATATGGGTCAAAATGCTCCTATTGGTTGGAGAATTTGGCCTCAAAAAATATGGAGTTGTACAACTGTATCGGTACGGTATAAACTGTGACATGGGGACGAGCTTACGGGACTGTGCCTGTTTATGGCATGTTTTTATTTTCCACAAATAGTGACAGGCACAAACTTTATTAGTGGCGGCACTAAAAATAAACAGTACTGCCACAACGCGCACGTCTAAAAAACGTCAAAATATTGCCTAGCGCTATTAGTGCCTTGCATTTTATACTCTTCAATAATTCCCTGTCACTTAGGAGTACAGAATAACGTTAAGTCGTCGCTATTACAAGTTACACCGGATATAAAAGTTCCCTTATTTTAGGGTGGATCTTGAGCCACCTGAATGAACTGATTTCAAGTTCACCTTAACGTTAAAGGTACCTTAGGTACCAAAGTCTTGATTTTAAGGTAACATGAAAATACCGGCCCTAATAAATCTCGCTTAGAGTGGCAATCCTGATGTGGCCATTGTTTTCCAATATCACATCAACTAAACTCAGAAAAAAAAATAAAAACAGTTTTACAGAATTTCGGTTTTCTTCGGATTTCTCCGAAATTATTCGGAATTTTTTAAGTTTCAAACCATTTTATTGGCCATAAAATTGCGCGACTTTACCCTAATTTAACCGACCTCGCGGACCTCGTATCTTTTATAATAACCGAGATCCCTGTGGTTAGAAAAATGGACACACTGTATATTTTTGTATGACCCTGTATAATTGTATAATATGTTTTAAAGTGTGTTTTAACATGCGCCATAATTGTAGTGGTTGTTTCGAAAGGAAATAATGACGTTAAAAGCTATATTTTGCATAAAATCGCATAACTTATGACAAAATCGTAGTGGGCTGCGATATTCAAAAAATCTCAAAAACGTCCCGAGGTAGGTACTAAGGTACCTACTCTCCTAAACTGAATACCAAAAATCTAATCAACCCTCTCTCCAGCAGAATGGGGTGAACCCAAACTTTCGCAAAAAAACCGCCAACTTATGTTTCACCCTGTATCTTTTAGCAGGTGGCCGGAAATCTGTTAGCAACTGGAAATTGAATAGCAATTGGAGCATCCTTTCAGAGAAAGAAAATTTCGAGTTCGATTGATGCGTAGTTTAATATATAATTATTTAATTATTAATAACAAAAATTTAAAGAATTTTTTCTACAAACGTGTTAAAAATGCAATTTTTAACACCCCTCCGAAGCATTAAAAATGTTACTTTATCGCACTAGTGCCATAAAGTCTTTATAGCACTAGTGTTAAAAATGAAACATCAAATTTTGAGAGCGGACGTCAAAAAAAATTTGTATTTTTAGTTATTTACATTGATATTAATGGTGAAATTTGAACAACTGAGGTAGCCCGATTGGCCGCCTCATCTATATTTTTCAAGGGATCGATGCTACCCCCTTTTTCTACTGTATTTTGTTGCATTTTAAGCAAAAAGCATTATTGACCACGAGAGACTTTCAAGAAACTGACATGACATTTCATTACCTGTAAAACAAGGTGCTGGTTGTTTGGACTTTTTGACAAATGTCAAATTCAATAATTTTATGTAGGGCCGAGTTCGTTTTTGTCATCTTTTTCGTCGATTTCCTCCGAAATTTTGACAGGCACGTGACTAGATAAGACAGTTTCAAGTTACAAATCACGTGCCTGTCAAAATTTCGGAGGAAATCGACGAAAAAGATGACAAAAACGAACTTGGCCTAGGAAAGGTGCTTCCAATTTATTATTCATTTAAAAATCCAATTTGTTATTGGTTATTGCTTTTTATTGCCGTTTGTAGAAAAAATATTGTATGATATTTGTGTTAAAAGTATTTTTAAGGCACTTATGTGAATTGCAGAGTTCGCTTCGCTCATTCTGCAAACTTTCACATGCGTGCCTTAAAAATGTACTTTTAACACTTATATCATAAATAACTATTTTATTACGCATGCATCATAATCAACGATTATCGCACATTGCAGTGTGCAAAAAATGATGTTTATGATGCGTCTACCTTTTCAAAGGTTTGCTATAGAAACGTTCGATCTACCTTCATTACCTAGATATTTACCTGCATACCTGCCATTCAAATTACTAGGTACTTATCAAAATCAGTGGCATTCGTAATAAAAAATAGCGTATGATATGCGTGTATAAGAGGGCATTTAAAGCCCTTTGCGACTTACAAAACACTCCGCTGCGCGTCGTGTTTTGAAATATGTCGCGCGTGCTTTAAATGCCCTCTTATACACTTATATCATAATATACTATTGTTTCAAATTACCAGTCAACAGCTTTTGAGTTTTGACTCTGAGCAACCACTCACAAAAATAAAGTGGTGTTATTTATGTATGGGCACTTCCCAAAATTATCCGGCACGAATTCAAGATGACCGACTTTCTACCAGTTGAATTGCGATCGTGCCTTGACTGCCTTGCAAAATTACGGAAGCCCGGTCGTGCAATCTGTCTTCCGAGTTCTGAGTTCATAGTTCTGACGTCACAACTCTGAATTTCTGATTTACTACGTTAGAAGTCCGTTATCGATGTTATCCTTTATCCTTGAGAATTGCCGAATTGTAAATTGTTGTAACCTAAAAATTACGTGTCCGGTTCTATTGTTTTTATTTGCATTTGCGATGTGATTTTTAACAAAAAAAAACTGCATAGCAAAATTTTAAACATTCTACATGAAGCAGATAACCATCATTTTAGAGGCCTCGGCCTGTGTCCTCTGGCTCTCAGATCATGAAAATAATTGATCCACCAATTTCTACCAAGCCGTCTCATTTGAGACCATCAACATTCAATTCTTTGTGATAGAGCAACCATTGAGGGCAACACACATATTTTCTGTCCCTAAATCAGTTTTCACAGATTCACAAAAAAAATATATTGAAAGATATAACTACTAGTAGGAGAGCAAGCGGTTCATCCGACTAACCAGTTTCACACAGAGCTAGAAATTTTTTAAATAATGTTTTATTATTGGTCAATTAAGAAAGTAGATAACGTTCTGGCAGGCATCTCGTGGTTGCGTCAGAAATAATCAGAATCCTTCAAGTGTGACGATAGCAAAATTGTTACAGGGTCAATCATTTATTACTTGCTTCCACAAGGCTGAAATTTTGAGGGAATATTCTTTTATTGATTTAAAAAGTATATGTAAATAGCCAGCCTATTCTGGCGGTTGCGAGTGTCTGCCAGACGAGTAGGTATACATATAATAGTCATGATGATACTCGATGGGAGTGCGAGCGCAACAGACTAATGGCCATTTCCACCAACTAATTTAGGGAAGCCCTAACGATAGGTATGCCTTAAACTGACATTTCTCCATGTAAAAATGTCATTTTAGGGAAGGGAATACTTATCGTTAGGGCTCCCCTAAAATGGTTGGCGGAAACGGCCATTAATACGGGTTCCAATGCCAATGTCATGTCAGAATGAGAGGATACGATATGACTACTACCACAGCCCAACTACTCGTACTACTGTGTTTTCAATTTTCACCAAACTAGATAGCAATAAATGAGCATTTCCGAGTTATGACGTGTAAATCAGAAATTGCGAGTTGTGACGTCAAAACTATGAACTAAGAAATCGGAAGACAGATTGCACGACCGGGCTTCCGTACAAAATCGACCGGTTCCTGTTGGGTTGGTTAAGGGTTTGAGGCGATTTCGCCTCAGTTTGGTCTGTCAAATAGGTACCAATCAAGAGCCCTTTTCACGTGGCTCCGGTTTAACAAACCGCAACATACCGCTCAAATTCGAGTGGTATCGACGACGTCACTTTGTAACCGGGACAACCGGGTTAAGAAACGGTATGTCATTTTTCTAACCAGCTCGGCGATATGGTTACGTTTAACGGTTACAATAACAAAAAAAATAGAAAATTTGTAAACAACGGAGAGCGGGAAAATTGTGACAAATGTAAACCCTATAAAGTTGTGTTTCTAATGACGTAATCACTTGACATACCGCTACTAATGGTTTTGTAACTCGGTTAATTTAAACCGGAGTCACGTGAAAAAGACTAATTGTCAGTCGAATTCCTATGATGACATGTCAATACAATGAAGTTTGGTAGTCATTTTGTTATTGTAGGTTAAGGTATTTCTTGCATAATGGCTATAATGTAAATTATTTTAGTATTTACAAAAATCAAACGAATACCAAAACATTCAACAATTTTTCCTAAGATCTATAAGTTCAACTACTAGATACCCATTAAATGCGATACTGTCAACGAAGTTTTGACCAAGAAAAATGAACTACAAACTTACAATGTTTGTCCTGTCTCAAATCAGAAAACTATCAACTTCTCGATTATCTCAACAACACAAAAACCATTACGATTCCTTGGGCATAGCGAAAAGTGCCACACAAGGGGATGTGAAAACTGCTTATTATAAATTGTCAAAGGTTTATCATCCAGACAGGAATCAGGGAACTACTTTTGAGCAACGAGAACAACATTCACAGAAATTTAGAGATATATCCGAGGCTTATGAGATTTTAGGAAATGTTAGAAGTAGGAAGATGTATGATAAAGGTAAAAACACAATCATTATATATTATCAATTCATTCTATTTTGGGTTATAGTTAATTTATTGGTTTTTTAGGTTTTTTGGGTGGAAACATTTTTGGTCCCAAAGTCGCTGAATCTACCCCAGACGACCCATTGGCCAAATTCTATAAATCTCGCGAGCACAGAGCCAGGCCACCAAATCCAACTGGTCAACAACCGATTTATGATTTTGACGAATGGTCCAGACAACATTACGGAGCTTCAGTTAGAAGAGACCGAGAATTAAAAGAGAAACGGGCAGCCTATGCTGCAGAGAAGAAAGCAAAAGAAGAGAATAAATATGAAGAGTTCAGCGTCTTGACGCTACTTGTGATAATTTTTACCTGTTTAGTAATACAACAATATGCTGAAGGTTTTGCATATGATAGACCTAAAAAGGGAAAATATTCTATGGATAATGAGGATGTAAATCGAAATGATTGACCTATTTTATAATAATTTTTAGCCAAATTGTTTCTGTAAATACTAAATTGATTTATCCATAGTGTTATATTATATAATTTAGATTATTTATTTTTACAAATGATTTAAATTTTTAATGCACCCAATCTGATGAAATTTTCCTTCCCTAATTTCATATACAAATGCCTACACAGATATATTATAATTTTTGTTGTTCTTTTAAAGCAGATTTAGAGAATATATTTTTTTTTATTTATTCATATTTTGTTTGATTATTGTTCTCTATTTTTTAGCTATGATTTACAATGGATTTCTGTACTGGTATTTAATGCATGTCGAACTTCCTAAATTTCGTAAAAAACAGGGAAAAAGATAAAGAAACCAACCGAAGAAGATGAATGAACAGCATTGAAGAAGAGCCATTCCAGAATTTGAATTGGGGTACAATTTGTAAATTTAATAGACAAATGAATACATATTTATTATTTCTGCGCCTTTTTCTTATTTTGGGGTTTTCCTCATACTGTAGTGTTATGTGATAACATGATCAGAATAATTGGAATTGAAAAGTTATAATTAACGAGCTGCTATTTTGTATAAAACCAACGAAATCTGTTCCGCAAAAAGCATCTTTGCAAAATCTGCAGTATGACGAAAAATCTAGAACCAGCACAACCAATAATTAATTGCAAACTTCAAGCTTGGAAACAATACCCGCGCTTTCGAGCTAGGATAACTCCATATGCTCTCGGTAGCTCTTGTGTACCCTGTTCGGTTTATCTACACCAAAAGCACTACTAGGCGATTTCAAATATTCGCCGCATAATTTGACTGAAAGGAACAATACAAACATTTCAAATTTTCAAATAATAAAACAACATACAATTTTTAATTTTTGTTTTATTGAAATTTGTATGAAAAATTTGATTAAAACATGATTCGTACAGAAGCAAAAATAGTTTCTGAAAAAGATCAAGAAAATTCGTTTGCCCCATACACGGCAATGGAATATTTGTTGGATAAATTGAAGTTGCTGAATTACGAAATGGAATTTTTAAGCGAAATTAAATTAAAGCCTATTCATAAGTAAGCAATTAGTAATTAGTTCTAATTTCTATAAACTGAAGCTGAATTAATTTGTAGATATTATTTCATAGTAATCAAAAATAGCGGGGAACAATTTTACTTATTTTCTATACTAGCAGCTTGGCTCATTCGTAAAACGGGTAAACCGTTCGAGAATCCCCAGGAACACGACGATCCAAATGATACAATTGATAGGATACTAATAGAAGTCAAAAACATGGTGAGTTTGGTAATTATCAATTATTATTGACGTAGAATTATCTATTATCCCTTACCCTTTCCGAATTTGATGATTTCTTTGTATTCTTGGTCGCTAATTATACATCTGAAATCCGTTTTTGTCGCTCGCATTTCGTTTCCGAGATATCCATATGATCAGGTCTGAAAGCGCAATACTTTAAAATAGCGACATATCAAAAGAACAACATTGTATAATTTACATAAAAATTCAATTCCATTAAAACTTGAATCTTTACTAAATCTAATTAAGGTCAAATTTATTATAATATCAAACAAGCAAACTAGATTATAAGCATACAATATTTTTAGGAATATCACGATATAAAACAATATGCGTCCTCGCACTGTAAAATAATTATATCAAATATCACGATCACGTAATAATAATATCGATTTAATATAAAAGACGATGTATCGAACTCAATAAATCAGATTCAACCAGTGTACGGTGTCTCTCAATACCTCTACAATTTACTGTGCCCAAGCCTCCTTGGCCATAGCAGAGAGTGAGGGTACTCTCTGACAGAAAATATCCCAAAAAGTTCTTAACGCCTGCTGCTTAACTCAAGCCGTAGTTAAGCAAGTGTAATCTTCAGGCACACAACCTGCACATTGGTCCTTCGAGCGAAGAAATTTTTACCAGGCCAGGCGACAGGCATCAGATAAGCTATCCTTCCGTTAGGCCAAACGCCCGTCCGTCCGCACGACAGTTCATCCATACATAGTCATCCAAACAGAAATCAACATCAGTCCATTGGAAGAAAAGTCCGTACGACCAAACATCTGTCCGATCAAATATCCGTCCGACCATACGTCGATTCGTTCGTACCACAGTGCGTCCGACCATACGTCAATCCGTCCACACAACAGTTCGTTCACATAGTCATCCAAACAGAAATCAACATCCGTCCATTGGGAGAAAAATCCGTACAACCAAACGTCTGTCCGATCATTTGATCATCATCATGAGTTAAAGTGTGTGAAAAATATTGAAAGTGGTTTTAAAATAAAGTTTAAAAGTTCGTGTTTAATATTTGCGTTTAATCCACCCAAAATAAAGTACTGTACTTATCAAAACTTAACGAAAAGCTATCTACTCCCAATTGTAATAATTGTTAATTATAAAAAGTGTGTGTAGTTTTTTTATCTGCATTGGTGCCGGTTAAAACTGATAAGAAAAATACCTATATGAGTAATAAACCTATGAATATTTTAAATTGATGTTTTTTGTTCCTGCTTCGAGTTTTGTTCTGAAATGGCTTTTTCCTTTAAATGCTGCAAAAATAAAGCACAGAACAACTGGATATGTATGCTATGCCACAATGTTTTTCATAAGAGCTGTCGATCAAGACTCAACCAAAGTGTGGTAATAATTAAGGATAACCTAATACTATGTTCTGCTGAGTGCTCGAATTTAGCAAGTGATTCGGACCCTGACATGATAGCAAGCTTGAAACAAATAATTGACGAGCTTAAAACTGAAATTCATGACAAAACAAACTACATTGATAGATTGAAACAGGATAAACAAACTCTATTAGAAGAGGCAGAATCTTTAGAAGACCAACTAGTTCAAGAAAATAATGACCTTAAACAAAAACTGGCTCAGTTGACACAACAATCGTTAAAGCAGAACACCAACGCATCAAAGAACTCAACGTCCTCATCAACTCAAACTTCTCTTCTAAGAAAAATCCTGTTTCAAGATAACTCTACTCAGACTAATTCTCACCTAACTAGCAAATCTGATGAAAAGCAAGAAGCCCTCATAGATGAAATAGCCGATCTAACAAATCTCAATAAACAAATGGTTACTACAGTGGAGGCACTAGATAGTGAAAACCTATTCCTCTCGAACGAGCTAAAAAATCTAAAAGAACAGCTTACTAATATCCATGGTTCTCCCAGGAAGCTGAACCTAGCATCCTGCTCAAATAGTAATGGTGTACTTGAAAGATCTCTGTTTGACGAACTATCGGTCATAGATCAGCAAATGAATAAAAATGCTAGCTCTATAATACCAGAGTATACTCCTCCACCTATACATGGTACAGCCTATCCCAAGAGAAAAAACAACATCTTGGTTTTTGGTGACGAAAGTTCAAGGTGTGTAGCTGGTGGACTACTTGACTTGACCAATAAATACTGGATCTATGGAGAATGTCATCCTGCTATTGCAATTTCCCAGATGGCTGGCAAGCTCTTTAATTTGACGGTGGGATTTAATAGTATGGATAATGTTATAGTAACTATAAACTTAAGTTCTATTGGTTTTCCTAAATTATTTTATTTAAAAAGATTGTTTTCTATCGGTAAATACACTAATTTAATTTTTTCTTTGAGTTACTCAGATTGGGAATGTGACAAATATGTAAGGTTTGTTTCCTTTTGTCAAAAATTTCTTAAATGCCAAAATGCATCAATTAGAATTCTAGATAATAATAAAGTGAATGGCAGATTTCGACTATCAAGGCTGTCTTTTTTAAAGAATATTTTGTCTTACGTAAGGAACAGTAGTGTTATATATTTCATTACTTTACTATTTACTGTGTTCCCTATATTTATGTACCTGTATGTTGTATGTCATGTTGTCAGTTATTGTCAGAAAATACTGTATTGAATTTTAGCTTATTAAAGCCTTAATTCTAAAGGTTCTTTCACTACAATTTAATAAGCTAATAATTACCCAATCAATGGACAAATTACTCAAGCCAGAACGACTAGAAATTGACACACATTCAAACAATGCTAGCCAGTTATGGATCCACTGGAAACGAACGTTTGAGAACTTTTTAGAAGCTGCCAAAATATCAGAAGATAAGGACAAATTAAACCTTCTAGTAAACTATGTGAGTTCTTCAGTTTATCAGTCTATTAGAGAATGTATTTCCTACATAGAAGCAGTCGCCATACTCGAAAAGTTATATGTAAAAACACAGAGTGAAATTTTTGCCCGTCATACTTTATCCACTAGAAAACAGCAAGTAAGTGAATCTATAGACCAGTACTTACAAATTCTGATACAATTAAGTAAGGACTGTAATTTCAAAGCAGTCACTGCTGAACAGAATAAAAATGACTACATAAGGGATTCATTTATTAGTGGTCTGGCCACATCTCACATTAGGCAAAGACTTCTAGAACATACGACTCTGAACTTAGAAGAAGCACATAAATCAGCTAGGTCTTTAGAAATGGCCCAACAACAGTCAGAATCTTATACCTCAAATTCGTACGTCAATTCAATTGTAGCAAATCAATCATCGACTTATGTTCAACAATCAAATGAACAAATGGATACAACACTTGCCGTAATTACATCAAAATGTTATTTTTGTGGAAGAAACAGACACTCTAGAGATAAATGTCCAGCAAGAGATGCAACCTGTCATTCCTGTGGAAAAATTGGTCATTTCACACAAGTATGTAGATCAAAATATCAAAAACAATCTCATTATTCAAATAAAACCTCAGCTGCTATGATTGGAATGATGTCAGCAGCCTCAACATCTTGTTTATCGAAAGCTATTATTAAAATTGAAGTCAATCATATTCCAACTGATGCATTAATTGATACTGGAAGTTCGGACAGTTATATCTCAAAAACTGTCACCACACAGAGACGTATCAAAGTGTTTCCTACGAATCTCAATGTCACAATGGCTGCTTCATCTTTAAATTCTCCTGTTTGTGGATACTGTATTGTGATTTTGAAAATATCAGATCATGTGTACAAAAATATCAAGTTTTACGTGATGGAAAATCTCTGTTCTGAAGTTATAATTGGACATGATATTCTTCAAAATCATTCTGGAGTAGAATTCAATTTTGGTGGAAATCAATCAAAACTTTCTATCTGTAATCTAGTAACAGCAAATATTCAACCTTATCCGCTGTTCGCGAATTTAACAGACAATTGCCAGCCTATTGCTATTAAATCTAGACGGTTTTCTAATGATGACTACAGATTTATACAAACAGAAATACAAAGATTATTGAAAGAAAACATCATTGAACCAAGTAATTCACCGTGGAGAGCACAAGTATTGGTTGCAAGTAACGTAAATCATAAGAAACGCATGGTTGTTGATTACTCGTTGACAATCAACAAGTTCACTTTATTAGATGCATATCCACTACCTAATATTGATAGAATTATTAGCCAAGTTTCGCAATATGAATATTTTAGTTCTATAGACTTACGTAGTGCGTACCATCAAATACCTATTTTGGAAAGTGAGCGAATTTACACTGGCTTTGAAGCATGTAACAACTTGTATCAATTCACAAGAATTCCATTTGGTGTCACAAATGGAGTAGCATGTTTTCAACGTATAATTAACAATATCATAGATAATGAAAGACTATCTGATACATATGCATTTTTGGATGACGTTACAATATGTGGAAAAACAAAAGAAGAACATGACAAAAACTTAGAGAAATTTATGAATATTACAAGAAAGTATAATCTAACATTAAACGATGAGAAATGCAAATTTTCAATGACAACTATCAATATTCTTGGATATACAATAGAAAAAAAAACCATAAAACCAGATGCGGATAGACTACAGCCATTAATCAATTTAGCAGCCCCTACAAATGTTGCTTCTCTCAGAAGAGTACAAGGTATGTTTGCACACTACTCAAAATTTATATACAAATTTTCTGAAAAGATACATCCCATTGTAAACGTGAAAACTTTTCCCATGAACAGAGAACAAATTCATGCATTTGAAAGGCTGAAACAAGATATTATTGATGCAGTTGTAATATTCATCGACGAAAAGGTTCCATTTACAGTAGAAACAGATGCTTCTGATTTTGCTATTGGTGCTCAACTGACACAAAATGGTAAACCTGTCGCATTTTTCTCAAGAACCTTAACAAAAATAGAACAAAATCATTCCAGTATAGAAAAAGAAGCATACGCAATAATCGAAGCTATAAGAAAATGGAGGCATTATTTAATGGGACGACATTTCAGTATAATAACTGATCAAAGATCCGTTGCATTTATGTTTGATAATAAGAGTTCATCAAAAATCAAAAATGAGAAAACATTGCGTTGGAAAATAGAATTATCATGTTACAAATTTGATATTATATACAGGCCAGGAAATCAAAACATTGTAGCT